CCGTCAATAATCGGCCACATTCCCGCCGACTGTACGGCCAATCAAGTGGGTAACAATTGATTGGCCAATCGGCTTAAATCGCGTGGTACCTGCTGATCTCTAAAGTGTTGCTGATTGGTTCAAAGTACTCGAAGAGCTAAACCCATCTTTTCTGCCTTCAATCAATCGATGTTTCTCTCAACTTTTCGCGGCAAATACGCTCACCAAGTAGCAATTAAAGCTCATTAGTTCTGTTAACCTAATTAGTGCAGATACGCGATGCGTGCATTAACTAATAAAATAATTTCATCTTCAAACAAGTAGTCCTTTAAACAGACTAGCCTCTGTATTACTGCCTGGCTATATTCCGACTAGCCTCTGTATTACTGCCTGCCTGTCTATATTCCGACTAGCCTCTGTATTACTGCCTGGCTATATTCCGACTAGCCTCTGTATTACTGCCTGGCTATATTCCGACTAGCCTCTGTATTACTGCCTGGCTATATTCCGACTAGCCTGTATTACTACTGCCTGGCTATATTCCGACTAGCCTCTGTATTACTGCCTGGCTATATTCCGACTAGCCTCTGTATTACTGCCTGGCTATATTCCGACTAGCCTCTGTATTACTGCCTGGCTATATTCCGACTAGCCTCTGTATTACTGCCTGGCTGGCAATGCCGACTAGCCGCTGTATTACTGCCTGGCTGGCAATGCCGACTAGCCTCTGTATTACTGCCTGGCTATATTCCGACTAGCCTCTGTATTACTGCCTGGCTATATTCCGACTTAGCCTCTGTATTACTGCCTGGCTGGCAATGCCGACTAGCCGCTGTATTACTGCCTGGCTGGCAATGCCGACTAGCCTCTGTATTACTGCCTGGCTGGCAATGCCGATTAGCCTCTGTATTACTGCCTGGCTATATTCCGACTAGCCTCTGTATTACTGCCTGGCTGGCAATGCCGACTAGCTTCTGTATTACTGCCTGGCTGGCAATGCCGACTAGCTTCTGTATTACTGCCTGGCTGGCAATGCCGACTAGCCTCTGTATTACTGCCCAGTTGTCAACACAAATTGGCGAAGCCCCCCCCCCCCCCCCAACAAACCACCGCACCCAGCCGGTAGTGCCGACCCATGATTTCTATTGTGCTGATTTCTCTAAAGTCAGGTTTGTGTAGCCGGTCTCACCTGTGATGTGTGGTGAGCCGGTCTCACCTGTGATGTGTGGTGAGCCGGTCTCACCTGTGATGTGTGGTGAGCCGGTCTCACCTGTGATGTGTGGTGAGCCTCTCTCACCTGTGATGTGTGGTGAGCCTCTCTCACCTGTGATGTGTGGTGAGCCTCTCTCACCTGTGATGTGTGGTGAGCTGGTCTCACCTGTGATGTGTGGTGAGCTGGTCTCACCTGTGATGTGTGGTGAGCCGGTCTCACCTGTGATGTGTGGTGAGCCGGTCTCACCTGTGATGTGTGGTGAGCCGGTCTCACCTGTGATGTGTGGTGAGCCGGTCTCACCTGTGATGTGTGGTGAGCCGGTCTCACCTGTGATGTGTGGTGAGCCGGTCTCACCTGTGATGTGTGGTGAGCCGGTCTCACCTGTGATGTGTGGTGAGCCGGTCTCACCTGCGATGTGTGGTGAGCCGGTCTCACCTGCGATGTGTGGTGAGCCGGTCTCACCTGCGATGTGTGGTGAACCGGTCTCACCTGTGATGTGTGGTGAGCCGGTCTCACCTGCGATGTGTGGTGAGCCGGTCTCACCTGTGATGTGTGGTGAGACGGTCTCACCTGTGATGTGTGGTGAGACGGTCTCACCTGCGATGTGTGGTGAGACGGTCTCACCTGTGATGTGTGGTGAGACGGTCTCACCTGCGATGTGTGGTGAGACGGTCTCACCTGCGATGTGTGGTGAGACGGTCTCACCTGTGATGTGTGGTGAGCCGGTCTCACCTGCGATGTGTGGTGAGACGGTCTCATCTGCGATGTGTGGTGAGACGGTCTCACCTGTGATGTGTGGTGAGCCGGTCTCACCTGTGATGTGTGGTGTGACGTTCATGTGCAGGCTGACTCCAGCACACGCTGGACATCACGTGATTCTTTGAACCTAGGGGAACTGGTGACTTGATGGTGGGGAACTGGTGACTTGGTGGGGAACTGGTGACTTGATGGTGGGGAACTGGTGACTTGGTGGGGAACTGGTGACTTGATGGTGGGGAACTGGTGACTTGATGGTAGGGAACTGGTGACTTGGTGGGGAACTGGTGACTTGATGGTGGGGAACTGGTGACTTGGTGGTGGGGAACTGGTGACTTGATGGTGGGGAACTGGTGACTTGGTGGGGAACTGGTGACTTGATGGTGGGGAACTGGTGACTTGATGGTGGGGAACTGGTGACTTGATGGTGGGGAACTGGTGACTTGATGGTGGGGAACTGGTGACTTGATGGTGGGGAACTGGTGACTTGATGGTGGGGAACTGGTGACTTGATGGTGGGGAACTGGTGACTTGATGGTGGGGAACTGGTGACTTGATGGTGGGGAACTGGTGACTTGATGGTGGGGAACTGGTGACTTGATGGTGGGGAACTGGTGACTTGATGGTGGGGAACTGGTGACTTGATGGTGGGGAACTGGTGACTTGATGGTGGGGAACTGGTGACTTGATGGTGGGGAACTGGTGACTTGATGGTGGGGAACTGGTGACTTGATGGTGGGGAACTGGTGACTTGATGGTGGGGAACTGGTGACTTGATGGTGGGGAACTGGTGACTTGATGGTGGGGAATTGGTGACTTGATGGTGGGGAACTGGTGACTTGATGGTGGGGAACTAACTGTCACAATCCTGTATGTTTTTGAAAGATATATGATTGCTAATTGTTGGCCAGGCTGCTGTAGACATAACACAACAAGACCATCGATACATAACACAATAAACCAGGAGTGATCTCCCCTAAATTTTCTCGGATATTCTAATATAAAACTATGAGGGATGGCAACTCAGGACATAGACAATATTTGTAATCCATTTTTAATTACTCAAACTTTTTATAATAGAATGGAATCTCGTAAAAAAAGAATTGCACACTAAGTGAACGCCTAACAACTGAATACTAAGAAGTTAAGAGTGACATGCTAGGCGACCTATCATCTTGAATGGTTTACCACAAGGGAGCGATCAGAGTGCCCGAATACGATGGTTTGTCCCAGTTAGATAATGTGAGAAAGACAATGCCATAACAAACCCCCTAATGGACATTTTTCCCGAAATAAACCGAGAGTGATCTTCCCTAAACTTTCTCGAATATTCTAATATAAAAAAAAATTGGGGATGGGAACTCGGGATATAGACATGAGTTTTAATCCATTTTAAATACTTAAACTTTTTAAAATAGAATAAAACCTCGAAGATAAAAGAATTGCACACCAAGTGAACGCCAAATAAAATGTGCATAATAGTGCGGGATAGTATTAGTACTTTATAAATTTACGTGCGTTTTTTGAGAACTCGGAAATAGCGTAAATTAGTACTTCCGTTCAACGGAAATTACTCAAAATTTGATAGAAGGTAGAGAATTAGATCTTTTAGTTACATGTGAAATTTCATTTATCTATCTGAAATAGTACTCAAGTTATAGGCTTTTGATGGGGAACTGGTGACTTGATGGTGGGGAACTGGTGACTTGATGGTGGGGAACTGGTGACTTGATGGTGGGGAACTGGTGACTTGATGGTGGGGAACTGGTGACTTGATGGTGGGGAACTGGTGACTTGATGGTGGGGAACTGGTGACTTGATGGTGGGGAACTGGTGACTTGATGGTGGGGAACTGGTGACTTGATGGTGGGGAATTGGTGACTTGATGGTGGGGAACTGGTGACTTGATGGTGGGGAACTAACTGTCACAATCCTGTATGTTTTTGAAAGATAAATGATTGCTAATTGTTGGCCAGGCTGCTGTAGACATAACACAACAAGACCATCGATACATAACACAATAAACCAGGAGTGATCTCCCCTAAATTTTCTCGGATATTCTAATATAAAACTATGAGGGATGGCAACTCAGGACATAGACAATATTTGTAATCCATTTTTAATTACTCAAACTTTTTATAATAGAATGGAATCTCGTAAAAAAAGAATTGCACACTAAGTGAACGCCTAACAACTGAATACTAAGAAGTTAAGAGTGACATGCTAGGCGACCTATCATCTTGAATGGTTTACCACAAGGGAGCGATCAGAGTGCCCGAATACGATGGTTTGTCCCAGTTAGATAATGTGAGAAAGACAATGCCATAACAAACCCCCTAATGGACATTTTTCCCGAAATAAACCGAGAGTGATCTTCCCTAAACTTTCTCGAATATTCTAATATAAAAAAAAATTGGGGATGGGAACTCGGGATATAGACATGAGTTTTAATCCATTTTAAATACTTAAACTTTTTAAAATAGAATAAAACCTCGAAGATAAAAGAATTGCACACCAAGTGAACGCCAAATAAAATGTGCATAATAGTGCGGGATAGTATTAGTACTTTATAAATTTACGTGCGTTTTTTGAGAACTCGGAAATAGCGTAAATTAGTACTTCCGTTCAACGGAAATTACTCAAAATTTGATAGAAGGTAGAGAATTAGATCTTTTAGTTACATGTGAAATTTCATTTATCTATCTGAAATAGTACTCAAGTTATAGGCTTTTGAAAAATTCAAAGGAGAAAAAGTACCACTTCCGGTTATCGGAAATCGCTCAAAAGTTGATACGGATCTACGATTTTGATAAAATACTTATATATGAAATTTCATCAACATAGCTGTAACGGTACTCAAGTAATCGTGTTTAAACACAGACACACACACACACACACACAGACATACGGACAAGATTGCAAAATTATGTTTTTCCGTATCAGTGAGGTGTAAAACGTCGAGATTTGTAAAAATCTCGATTTTTTTTTTTTTTGCACGATTACAAGACTTTCTCTATACTTCGTCTATACGAGAAAGTAACAAGACCAAGACCATCGATACATAGTTTATTGAGTACAAATGTGATCCAGCAGGACAAAGTTTAGCAACATCGTCAAGGCGTGTCTATAAATAGAAAGTAAGTTGCTGCACACAGAGGCAAACGTCCGGCTACATGTAGCACACAGTGGTGTCTGGCTACATGTAGCACACAGTGGTGTCTGGCTACATGTAGCACAGTCTGGCTACATGTAGCACACAGTGGGGTCTGGCTACATGTAGCACACAGTGGTGTCTGGCTACATGTAGCACACAGTGGTGTCTGGCTACATGTAGCACACAGTGGTGTCTGGCTACATGTAGCACACAGTGGTGTCTGGCTACATGTAGCATAGTCTGGCTACATGTAGCACACAGTGGTGTCTGGCTACATGTAGCACACAGTGGGGTCTGGCTACATGTAGCACACAGTGGTGTCTGGCTACATGTAGCACACAGTGGTGTCTGGCTACATGTAGCACACAGTGGTGTCTGGCTACATGTAGCACACAGTGGTGTCTGGCTACATGTAGCACAGTCTGGCTACATGTAGCACACAGTGGGGTCTGGCTACATGTAGCACACAGTGGTGTCTGGCTACATGTAGCACACAGTGGGGTCTGGCTACATGTAGCACAGTCTGGCTACATGTAGCACACAGTGGTGTCTGGCTACATGTAGCACACAGTGGGGTCTGGCTACATGTAGCACACAGTGGTGTCTGGCTACATGTAGCACAGTCTGGCTACATGTAGCACCCAGTGGGGTCTGGCTACATGTAGCACACAGTGGTGTCTGGCTACATGTAGCACACAGTGGTGTCTGGCTACATGTAGCACCCAGTGGGGTCTGGCTACATGTAGCACACAGTGGTGTCTGGCTACATGTAGCACACAGTGGTGTCTGGCTACATGTAGCACACAGTGGTGTCTGGCTACATGTAGCACACAGTGGTGTCTGGCTACATGTAGCACACAGTGGGGTCTGGCTACATGTAGCACACAGTGGTGTCTGGCTACATGTAGCACACAGTGGTGTCTGGCTACATGTAGCACACAGTGGTGTCTGGCTACATGTAGCACCCAGTGGGGTCTGGCTACATGTAGCACCCAGTGGGGTCTGGTTACATGTAGTACCCAGTGGGGTCTGGCTACATGTAGCACCCAGTGGTGACTGGCTACATGTAGCACAGTCTGGCTACATGTAGCACACAGTGGGATCTGGCTACATGTAGCACAGTCTGGCTACATGTAGCACACAGTGGTGTCTGGCTACATGTAGCACAGTCTGGCTACATGTAGCACACAGTGGTGTCTGGCTACATGTAGCACACAGTGGTGTCTGGCTACATGTAGCACACAGTGGTGTCTGGCTACATGTAGCACACAGTGGTGTCTGGCTACATGTAGCACACAGTGGTGTCTGGCTACATGTAGCACACTAAACACTATAAACAACAGTAGCCCATAGCAGGGAGATGGGAAAGAATTCTAAAAGAGGCAAAGCTCACTGAAAGAAATGATTGTGTGTTGCAGCTATTTAAAGACGCAAAGCTCACTGTAAGATATGATTGTGTGTTGCAGCTATTTAAAGAGGCAAGGCTCACTGTAAGAAATGATTGTGTGTTGTAGCTATTTAAAGAGGCAAAGCTCACTGTAAGAAATGATTGTGTGTTGCAGCTATTTAAAGAGGCAAAGCTCACTGTAAGAAATGACTGTGTGTTGCAGCTATTTAAAGAGGCAAAGCTCACTGTAAGAAATGATTGTGTGTTGCAGCTATTTAAAGAGGCAAGGCTCACTGTAAGAAATGATTGTGTGTTGCAGCTATGATGGTGTGACGAGTAAGTTTGAGGCTGGAAGCCTTCATGCCTGGCACCAAGAGAGTTCTCATCTACTTGGAAATTTTTTCCCTCGGGAAAGGGGGGTTATGGGTGGAATTTATAGATGAAACACTGCTGCTAGAAGAAAGAAAAACAATGTATTGCAATCAACTGAAAGTGAGTTACCATAAAAGACAGGCAACACCATGAAATAAAACAGCTGACTAATGTAAAACAACAAAGAAGATCCCGAATATGGCTGAAATCTGTATACATGACATGGCAACGACATTACACTGCATCCAAATAGTTGACATCAAGCAGTCTATTTACAATAATATCACATGAATAGAGCTGGGAGTGCTGAGGGCACACAATTGCACAAATAAACAAAGCCTTACAGGCCAGACTCACAGAAACAAAGGCACCACAATTAGAACACGCTGGAAGCTGGATAGCAGCCACAGGCTAGCCTTAGGTCCACCAGATGGTCAGCCACAGGCTAGCCTAAGGTCCACCAGATGGTCAGCCATAGGTCCACCAGATGGTCAGCCATAGGTCCACCAGATGGTCAGCCATAGGTCCACCAGATGGTCAGCCATAGGTCCACCAGATGGTCAGCCATAGGTCCACCAGATGGTCAGCCACAGGCTAGCCTAAGGTCCACCAGATGGTCAGCCACAGGTCCACCAGATGGTCAGCCACAGGCTAGCCTAAGGTCCACCAGATGGTCAGCCACAGGCTAGCCTAAGGTCCACCAGATGGTCAGCCACAGGTCCACCAGATGGTCAGCCACAGGCTAGCCTAAGGTCCACCAGATGGTCAGCCACAGGCTAGCCTAAGGTCCACCAGATGGTCAGCCACAGGTCCACCAGATGGTCAGCCATAGGCTAGCCTAAGGTCCACCAGATGGTCAGCCATAGGTCCACCAGATGGTCAGCCATAGGTCCACCAGATGGTCAGCCATAGGTCCACCAGATGGTCAGCCACAGGCTAGCCTAAGGTCCACCAGATGGTCAGCCACAGGTCCACCAGATGGTCAGCCACAGGCTAGCCTAAGGTCCACCAGATGGTCAGCCACAGGTCCACCAGATGGTCAGCCACAGGCTAGCCTAAGGTCCACCAGATGGTCAGCCACAGGCTAGCCTAAGGTCCACCAGATGGTCAGCCACAGGTCCACCAGATGGTCAGCCATAGGCTAGCCTAAGGTCCACCAGATGGTCAGCCATAGGTCCACCAGATGGTCAGCCATAGGTCCACCAGATGGTCAGCCATAGGTCCACCAGATGGTCAGCCACAGGCTAGCCTAAGGTCCACCAGATGGTCAGCCACAGGCTAGCCTAAGGTCCACCAGATGGTCAGCCACAGGCTAGCCTAAGGTCCACCAGATGGTCAGCCATAGGCTAGCCTAAAGTCCACCAGCTATGATGGTCACCTATATGCTAGTCTAATTATTATTGATGGTCAGCAATAAAAGACAACAGGAGTAAACCTTGGCAACGCCCAGACAAACTGGGAAAAAATTGGAGTGTAAGATAATTTCACACAAAAACAAAGCTTTTACACCAAGTAGGCGAGCATTAAAACCAACTGACCAACCAGCATTACAGACACAAATCAACTGACCAACCAACATTACAGATACAAATCAACTGACCAACCAACATTACAGACACAAATCAACTGACCAACCAACATTACAGATACAAATCAACTGACCAACCAACATTACAGACACAAATCAACTGACCAACCAACATTACAGATACAAATCAACTGACCAACCAACATTACAGACACAAATCAACTGACCAACCAACATTACAGACACAAATCAACTGACCAACCAACATTACAGACACAAATCAACTGACCAACCAGCATTACAGATACAAATCAACTGACCAACCAACATTACAGACACAAATCAACTGACCAACCAACATTACAGACACAAATCAACTGACCAACCAGCTTTACAGAAACAAGTCACCTGACCAAGTGAACCAAAACCTCTCATTACCTCTATCAAGCTCAAAGCTTTCAGCCCAACAATATTAAGCCATACAAACGTTCATAAATAGGAAATGCTACATCGCCATCACACAGACAAGTCATGTACCATTGTGGTACATTTAAAGATATTTGCAACAGCCTGCTGTGGTCCACCATTTACTGTACAGCCTGCTGTGGTCCACCATTTAATGTACAGCCTGCTGTGGTCCACCATTTACTGTACAGCCTGCTGTGGTCCACCATTTACTGTACAGCCTGCTGTGGTCCACCATACAGCCTGCTGTGGTCCACCATACAGCCTGCTGTGGTCCACCATACAGCCTGCTGTGGTCCACCATACAGCCTGCTGTGGTCCACCATTTACTGTACAGCCTGCTGTGGTCCACCATTTACTGTACAGCCTGCTGTGGTCCACCATACAGCTTGCTGTGGTCCACCATACAGCCTGCTGTGGTCCACCATACAGCCTGCTGTGGTCCACCATTTACTGTACAGCCTGCTGTGGTCCACCATTTACTGTACAGCCTGCTGTGGTCCACCATACAGCCTGCTGTGGTCCACCATACAGCCTGCTGTGGTCCACCATTTACTGTACAGCCTGCTGTGGTCCACCATACAGCCTGCTGTGGTCCACCATACAGCCTGCTGTGGTCCACCATTTACTGTACAGCCTGCTGTGGTCCACCATTTACTGTACAGCCTGCTGTGGTCCACCATTTACTGTACAGCCTGCTGTGGTCCACCATTTACTGTACAGCCTGCTGTGGTCCACCATTTACTGTACAGCCTGCTGTGGTCCACCATACAGCCTGCTGTGGTCCACCATTTACTGTACAGCCTGCTGTGGTCCACCATTTACTGTACAGCCTGCTGTGGTCCACCATTTACTGTACAGCCTGCTGTGGTCCATCATTTACTGTACAGCCTGCTGTGGTCCACCATACAGCCTGCTGTGGTCCACCATTTACTGTACAGCCTGCTGTGGTCCACCATTTACTGTACAGCCTGCTGTGGTCCACCATTTACTGTACAGCCTGCTGTGGTCCATCATTTACTGTACAGCCTGCTGTGGTCCGCCATTTACTGTACAGCCTGCTGTGGTCCACCATTTACTGTACAGCCTGCTGTGGTCCACTGTACAGCCTGCTGTGGTCCACCATACAGCCTGCTGTGGTCCACCATTTACTGTACACTGCAGCTTTTATCATCGTCCTTGAGGGTGAGAAGACCAGAGGAAATTTTCTGGTCCAAAATTTCGTCATCTTCAATCCTGGAAAACAAATGGTTTTTTTACTTTCTCGTATATACGTAGTATAGAGAAAGTATTGTAATCGTGCAAAAAAAAAAATCGAGATTTTTACAAATCTCGACGTTTTACACCTCACTGATACGGAAAAACATAATTTTGCAATCTTGTCCGTATGTCTGTGTGTGTGTGTCTGTCTGTGTGTGTGTCTGTCCGTGTGTAAACACGATAACTTGAGTACCGTTACAGCTAGGTTGATGAAATTTCATATATAAGTATTTTATCAAAATCGTAGATCCGTATCAACTTTTGAGCGATTTCCGACAACCGGAAGTGGTACTTTTTCTACTTTGAATTTTTCAAAAGCCTATAACTTGAGTACTATTTCAGATAGATAAATGAAATTTCACATGTAAGTAAAAGATCTAATTCTCTACCTTCTGTTAAATTTTGAGTAATTTCCGTTGACTGGAAGTAGTAATTTACGCTACTTCCGATTTCTCAAAAAACTAATGTAAATTTTTAAAGTACTAATACTATTGCGCACCATTATACACACCTTTATTAGGCGTTCGCTTGGTGCGCAATTGTTTTTTACTGAGATTCTATTCTATTTTTAAAAGTTTCAGTATTTAAAATGGATTAAAAATCATAACTATATCCCCAGTTACCATCCCCTGTTGTTTTATATAAGATTATTCGAGAAAGTTTAGGGGAGATCACTACCAGTTTATTTAAAGTTATAGTTCGTCAATGGTGGGACGGAGTGGTCTAGCGGTAGAGAGCTGGACTGCTAACCCGTAAGTCTCGAGTTCGAATCCGGGTTCAAGTCAGTAGACCGTCCCTGAGTCCACCCAACTATGATGGGTACCTAACCCACATTAGGGAAAGTAAAGGCGGCTGGGCATAGTGCTGACCATACTATCTCTTCATATGCCGATTTCACAGAAACAAGTGAACTCTACTTCACTTGCCCCAAAGACCGTCAGGTTTGAAAGGGAAACTTTACTTTTTACTTTTATTTCGTCAATAGTTGAACTTTTATTCAAACCTTAATATTTGGTGGCAAGGACAGGCAGTGTGGTGATATAGAATTGGTGAGACAGGCAGTGTGGTGATATAGAATTGGTGGGACAGGCAGTGTGGTGATATAGAATTGGTGGGACAGGCAGTGTGGTGATATAGAATTGGTGGGACAGGCAGTGTGGTGATATAGAATTGGTGGGACAGGCAGTGTGGTGATATAGAATTGGTGGGACAGGCAGTGTGGTGATATAGAATTGGTGGGACAGGCAGTGTGGTGATATAGAATTGGTGGGACAGGCAGTGTGGTGATATAGAATTGGTGGGACAGGCAGTGTGGTGATATAGAATTGGTGGGGCAGACAGTGTGGTGATATAGAATTGGTGGGACAGGCAGTGTGGTGATATAGAATTGGTGGGACAGGCAGTGTGGTGATATAGAATTGGTGGGGCAGACAGTGTGGTGATATAGAATTGGTGGGACAGGCAGTGTGGTGATATAGAATTGGTGGGACAGGCAGTGTGGTGATATAGAATTGGTGGGGCAGGCAGTGTGGTGATATAGAATTGGTGGGACAGGCAGTGTGGTGATATAGAATTGGTGGGGCAGACAGTGTGGTGATATAGAATTGGTGGGACAGGCAGTGTGGTGATATAGAATTGGTGGGACAGGCAGTGTGGTGATATAGAATTGGTGGGACAGGCAGTGTGGTGATATAGAATTGGTGAGGCAGGCAGTGTGGTGACAGGAATCTAAAAAGGTAGTGGGCTAGGCATGACAATTTAACAGTCCCTACCGAGACAGACAAAAGAGGAGCATGACAATTTAACAGAGCAGACAGACCGAGGGAGAAGCGAGCACGAAGCGGGTAAGGCGAGACTGTTGACGTCAAGGTTGAACAAACACGAGCCAGAATACAGCCATTAGCCCTCTTCACGGCATCAACGGGCTGTTCTCATGCCGACGAGGGCCATACGCTCTATGTACAGTACGGGGCCTCGTATCCCGGGGTAGGGAGGGACAAAAGGTTTGAGTTACCTCTATAATTAGAAACATGCTATATAAGGGACCGGACGGCCAGTGGGAAACTGATGCTAGACCGACTGTGGGAATGATACACAGCAGAAATCTATAGTCCGCAACTACATCTTCAGTGGAAAAAAGAACTTGCTTACAGAAACCTTTGTTACGGCTTTAGTTTTATAGACACCAATAGTTAGTTGATAAATACAGCAAATGACGGAGAAACAGGGCTAAACTAACGCTGGCAAATGCAGCCATACATCAGCTGCTACTTACGCCCGTTCCTGAGAATCCAGATGCTGAACAAGTTCGTCTCTTTTATTAACCACCGTTACCAACTCATCAAGCAGTAGCCGCTCTCTGCGCTTCTGTGCTTCTGTTTTCTGCCAGTCTACAAGCGAGAAAAATACACAATATATTATGTACTAGCTGCATACCCGTGCTCCGCCACGGTAAATCTTTTTTAAATGTACCAACTTGGGAACAGAACAAAACTAAACACAACACAAACGCAAACGCAACACAAATAAAACGCAACACAAACGCAACACAAACACAACACAAATAAAAACACAAACACAAAAGAAAACACAAAGAACACAAACACAAAAGAAAACACAAACACAATTCAAACGAACACAATGCAAACACAAACGAAAACACAAACGCAACACACAAACACAAAAGAAAACACTCATAAATTTGCATTCACATTTTGCTAATTATATTATTGCAACAATTATTCCTTCTTGGAGGTCCGTAGATTTTGCATTCACATTTTTTTTATTAGCGTGAGTTGAATTTATTTTTTAAATTACCTCCCTTGAAATATTACAAAACAGTTTAATTAATTCTTTTTTTCGACCCTATTATTATTAAAATGTATCCACTTTTTCTAGGAATCTAAACGAAAATGATATTTGACATTGATCCTTTTAATATGTTTTAGCAATGTGCGTGTATTTAATATTTTCTTTACGTTATGCAAAAGCATAAAAACAGTGGCAACTATAAAATAAATTTAAGTTGTTATATAAACAAACCCTACTCTATTGCTTAACATAATGCGATGCACTGAAAAGCACTAAATGGTGCGATGTTCACTTATATGGTTCCAAAATCTATAGCGATGACGGAATGGCGGAATGACTGACACACTACCACCAGCGATACAATATAGATATATGTATGAATATGATTTATATACACCAAAACTTTATATATACTAAAAAAACTCAAGTTGTCTACAAGTTTGTATATTTGTTTGTTTGTCTGGTTACATGAGAGAAACTGCACTATATGTAGAACGGTAATAGGGCATTACCCCCCCCCCCCCCTCGGAGTAATTACCCCCTGTTAATTATCCCCCGCCAAGTAGGACATTACCCCCCCCCCCCCCGGGCATAGCTTAAGGTTCAGCTAGGTCAGGGCTATGGTTAGGGCTAGGGTTAGGATTAGGCTTGGATCAATGTCTAGATTTGGGTTAATTTTAGGGTGAGGTGAATTCTTAGGTTTTTCGTATTTGTCTTAAGGTTAGGATTAAGGTAATATATAGGTATAGAGTTAGAATCAGGATTCTATTTTGGAGGATGGGAAGGGGGGGGGGAATTCCCCAGGGGGGTAAATACGGGGGGGGGGATGTCCGGGGGGAAATGTCCGGGGGGGGAGTAATGTCCTGTAGCCATGTAGAACTGTAAAATGCGTGTTTAGGTAGAGAATTATGTTCTTTTTGACTAAACTATTAATCACACATTTTTTAATGACGTTAATTAATTTATTGATAAGTTCATAGGGATACACGCCACTTTAATTGTAAAAGTTCAGAACAATGACTTTATTTATTTTTTAAAACATAAATGGCGGCTTCCATCGAAGATTTTTTTTGCCGATTCAAAAGTTTAACGCATTATAGAGCCCATTTTCTGTCGGCTATAGCTTTAACGAGACGTCCGTTTGCTATTTTTATATAGTTCCAACACTATTATCAATTTTCAACAGTTTTTCTAATTTGAGTATACAACACATGTCTCTAGATCTGGAGATCAGCTGTCGGAAGAAGCGAAAGTCAATCTAGAATCTAGGTCAAACCAAAATTAATTAGTTAAAAATAAAAACAATTCTAAAAACAAATCTAAAAATATAAATTTTTGCTTTTTAGCTTCAATGATCATCTTATTCGAGAATGCATGGGATTTATCTATCTAGGTTCTAGAATAGTTCTAAATCTAGAACTAGAAAAAATTAGACTTAAAAGCAAGCCAGCAGTATTCAACATCTGAACTAGATCTAGCTTTATCTTGTCCCAACACTGGCTGCATGTATCTAGCCAGATACTTGTCCCAACACTGGCTGCATGTATCTAGCCAGATACTTGTCCCACCACTGGCTGCATGTATCTAGCCAGATACTTGTCCCAACACTGGCTGCATGTATCTAGCCAGATACTTGTCCAACACTGGCTGCATGTATCTAGCCAGAAACTTGTCCCACCACTGGCTGCATGTATCTAGCCAGATACTTGTCCCAACACTGGCTGCATGTATCTAGCCAGATACTTGTCCAACACTGGCTGCATGTATCTAGCCAGATACTTGTCCCACCACTGGCTGCATGTATCTAGCCAGATACAACATCTAGCCAGATACTAGTCCCAACACTGGCTGCATGTATCTAGCCAGATACTTGTCCCAACACTGACTGCATGGCTGCATGTATCTAGCCAGATACTTGTCCCAAATTTGGCTGCATGTATCTTATCTAGCCAGATACTTGTCCCAACACTGGCTGCATGTATCTAGCCAGATACTTGTCCCACCACTGGCTGCATGTATCTAGCCAGATACTTGTCCCAACACTGGCTGCATGTATCTAGCCAGATACTTGTCCCACCACTGGCTGCATGTATCTAGCCAGATACTTGTCCCAACACTGGCTGCATGTATCTAGCCAGATACTTGTCCCAACACTGGCTGCATGTATCTAGCCAGATACAACATCTAGCCAGATACTTGTCCCAACACTGGCTGCATGTATCTAGCCAGATACTTGTCCCACCACTGGCTGCATGTATCTAGCCAGATACTTGTCCCAACACTGGCTGCATGTATCTAGCCAGATACTTGTCCAACACTGGCTGCATGTATCTAGCCAGATACTTGTCCCAACACTGGCTGCATGTATCTAGCCAGATACTTGTCCAACACTGGCTGCATGTATCTAGCCAGATACTTGTCCCACCACTGGCTGCATGTATCTAGCCAGATACAACATCTAGCCAGATACTAGTCCCAACACTGGCTGCATGTATCTAGCCAGATACTTGTCCCACCACTGGCTGCATGTATCTAGCCAGATACTTGTCCCAAATTTGGCTGCATGTATCTAGCCAGATACTTGTCCCAAATTTGGCTGCATGTATCTAGCCAGATACTTGTCCCAACACTGGCTGCATGTATCTAGCCAGATACTTGTCCCACCACTGGCTGCATGTATCTAGCCAGATACTTGTCCCAACACTGGCTGCATGTATCTAGCCAGATACTTGTCCAACACTGGCTGCATGTATCTAGCCAGATACTTGTCCCAACACTGGCTGCATGTATCTAGCCAGATACTTGTCCAACACTGGCTGCATGTATCTAGCCAGATACTTGTCCCACCACTGGCTGCATGTATCTAGCCAGATACAACATCTAGCCAGATACTAGTCCCAACACTGGCTGCATGTATCTAGCCAGATACTTGTCCCACCACTGGCTGCATGTATCTAGCCAGATACTTGTCCCAACACTGGCTGCATGGCAGCATGTATCTAGCCAGATACTTGTCCCAAATTTGGCTGCATGTATCTAGCCAGATACTTGTCCCACCACTGGCTGCATGTATCTAGCCAGATACTTGTCCCAACACTGGCAGCATGTATCTAGCCAGATACTTGTCCAACACTGGCTGCATGTATCTAGCCAGATACTTGTCCCACCACTGGCTGCATGTATCTAGCCAGATACTTGTCCCAACACTGGCTGCATGTATCTAGCCAGATACTTGTCCAACACTGGATGCATGTATCTAGCCAGATACTTGTCCCAACACTGGCTGCATGTATCTAGCCAGATACTTGTCCCAACACTGGCTGCATGTATCTAGCCAGATACTTGTCCAACACTGGCTGCATGTATCTAGCCAGATACTTGTCCCACCACTGGCTGCATGTATCTAGCCAGATACTTGTCCCACCACAGGCTGCATGTATCTAGCCAGATACTTGTCCCACCACTGGCTGCATGTATCTAGCCAGATACTTGTCCCAACACTGGCTGCATGTATCTAGCCAGATACTTGTCCCACCACTGGCTGCATGTATCTAGCCAGATACTTGTCCCACCACTGGCTGCATGTATCTAGCCAGATACTTGTCCAACACTGGCTGCATGTATCTAGCCAGATACTTGTCCCAACACTGGCTGCATGTATCTAGCCAGATACTTGTCCAACACTGGCTGCATGTATCTAGCCAGATACTTGTCCCACCACTGGCTGCATGTATCTAGCCAGATACTTGTCCCACCATTGGCTGCATGTATCTAGCCAGATACTTGTCCAACACTGGCTGCATGTATCTAGCCAGATACTTGTCCCAACACTGGCTGCATGTATCTAGCCAGATACTTGTCCAACACTGGCTGCATGTATCTAGCCAGATACTTGTCCCACCACTGGCTGCATGTATCTAGCCAGATACAACATCTAGCCAGATACTTGTCCCAACACTGGCTGCATGGCTGCATGTATCTAGCCAGATACTTGTCCCAAATTTGGCTGCATGTATCTAGCCAGATACTTGTCCCAACACTGGCTGCATGTATCTAGCCAGATACTTGTCCAACACTGGCTGCATGTATCTAGCCAGATACTTGTCCCACCACTGGCTGCATGTATCTAGCCAGATACTTGTCCCACCACTGGCTGCATGTATCTAGCCAGATACTTGTCCCACCACTGGCTGCATGTATCTAGCCAGATACTTGTCCAACACTGGCTGCATGTATCTAGCCAGAAACTTGTCCCACCACTGGCTGCATGTATCTAGCCAGATACTTGTCCCACCACTGGCTGCATGTATCTAGCCAGATACTTGTCCCAACACTGGCTGCATGTATCTAGCCAGATACTTGTCCAACACTGGCTGCATGTATCTAGCCAGATACTTGTCCCACCACTGGCTGCATGTATCTAGCCAGATACTTGTCCCACCACTGGCTGCATGTATCTAGCCAGATACTTGTCCAACACTGGCTGCATGTATCTAGCCAGATACTTGTCCCAACACTGGATGCATGTATCTAGCCAGATACAACATCTAGCCAGATACTTGTCCCAACACTGGATGCATGTATCTAGCCAGATACAACATCTAGCCAGATACTTGTCCCACCACTGGCTGCATGTATCTAGCCAGATACTTGTCCCACCACTGGCTGCATGTATCTAGCCAGATACTTGTCCAACACTGGCTGCATGTATCTAGCCAGATACTTGTCCCAACACTGGCTGCATGTATCTAGCCAGATACAACATCTAGCCAGATACTTGTCCCACCACTGGCTGCATGTATCTAGCCAGATACTTGTCCCACCACTGGCTGCATGTATCTAGCCAGATACTTGTCCAACACTGGCTGCATGTATCTAGCCAGATACTTGTCCCAACACTGGATGCATGTATCTAGCCAGATACAACATCTAGCCAGATACTTGTCCCAACACTGGATGCATGTATCTAGCCAGATACAACATCTAGCCAGATACTTGTCCCACCACTGGCTGCATGTATCTAGCCAGATGCTTGTCCCAACACTGGATGCATGTATCTAGCCAGATACAACATCTAGCCAGATACTTGTCCCAACACTGGATGCATGTATCTAGCCAGATACAACATCTAGCCAGATACTTGTCCCAACACTGGCTGCATGTATCTAGCCAGATACAACATCTAGCCAGATACTTGTCCCAACACGGGCTGCATGTATCTAGCCAGATACTTGTCCCATCATTGGCTGCATGTATCGAGGCGGCACGAGCCGATACACGCCAGTTGTCCTGCCATCCATCACTGTGTCGAGGGGAACAGCTAGGCGGATTAGGACGGGAAGATGGACCGTTTGACAAGCCCGTGGAACCAAATCTGTACAGCACACAAATAGACGGCGGGGTCCCACAGTCCAGCGGTGAGTAAGGAATCTGAGACCGGCAGACGACAGGTGGGCCAGCGTTCAGTCGCCTGTCTCCGGCAGGCATCGCTAGCCAGGAGAGGACGGCAATACAGATAAGTATTTCCCCACCTCAAGATATCATTCCAACATGGCAGGACTAAGTGGGCATGCGGTGTAGCGCTCAGTTGAATGTGCATGTTGACGGCATTTGATGAGAGAAAAATGTGTACCCTGGCTATCCAAGTCTGCGAGAAAAAACTTCTCTGATCAAGTCCTTTAGCCGCGTCCCCGAGATTGGCTGCACGTCTCGGCACGTGGCGAGCTCCACGCAGGCCACCACGTGACGACAAAGGGAGGCTAGCATGGACAGCTTCCCCAGAACAATCAGCATGACACAAGTCGACGCCACAAGACAATGGGGGGATGTATCAACTTTCCCCTGGACGGCTCGCCATTAACGGACTGGGCCGGGGTGACAGGACATGACTGGTGTCCTTCCCCAACGGAAACACGATCTAAAGACAGCATATGGCCTTGGCTCCCAGGCTAGCCTCATCTGCCGGTCATGACTTCATTGTTTCCTTCGAGCCCTAGTTCATCACCTATTTGACCCTTGCTTCTACGTGTAGTGGCCACACACTGAAATAACTGGCCAAAAGTTGTGGCCAGTCAAATGACCCTTGCTTCTACGTGTAGTGGCCACACACTGAAATAACTGGCCAAAAGTTGTGGCCAGTCAAATGACCCTCGCTTTTACGTATGGTGGCCACACACTGAAATAACTGGCCAAAAGTTGTGGCTAGTCAAATGACCCTTGCTTTTACGTGTGGTGGCCACACACTAAAGTAAATGGCCAAAAGTTGTGGCCAGTCAAATGACCCTTGCTTTTACGTGTGGTGGCCACACACTAAAGTAAATGGCCAAAAGTTGTGGCCAGTCAAATGACCCTTGCTTCTACGTGTAGTGGCCACACGCTGAAATAAATGGCCAAAAGTTGTGGCCAGTCAAATTAGCGTATCAGGCGGCGGAATTAGTTATGTAAGCATGTGTTAGTAACTAGTTATGTAAGCATGTGTTAGTAACTAGTTATGTAAGCATGTGTTAGTAACGAGTTATGTAAGCATGTGTTAGTAACTAGTTATGTAAGCATGTGTTGGTAACTAGTTATGTAAGCATGTGTTAGTAACTAGTTATGTAAGCATGTGTTGGTAACCAGTTATGTAAGCATGTGTTAGTAACGAGTTATGTAAGCATGTGTTAGTAACTAGTTATGTAAGCATGTGTTGGTAACTAGTTATGTAAGCATGTGTTAGTAACTAGTTATGTAAGCATGTGTTAGTAACTAGTTATGTAAGCATGTGCTAGTAACTAGTTATGTAAGCATCTACTGTAACTAGTATTGTTAGAACATGCCATCCTAAAGCCATCTAAGTAAGCCACCTCCTCTAATCAGCTAGGTAAAGTCCATTAAACGTGTAGAGGCAGAAGAAAGAATCTTCATTGATTTCCTATCAAACACAGGCCAGCTCAAAGATCTAATCCGCTGATGGATGTAGGAGCTCAGCGTCCACATCATCACAACAATTAAACCACCACACCAATGGCCAGTTTTATACAGGCCAGCCAATGAAGGGCTCTCGTCTCAAAGGCCAATTTATAACGCAATCTTTCTGCGCAACTATAGACAGCATACACACACACACACGCACACACACACAAACACACACAGCGCGCTACTCAACAACCTTTGTGTATGTGAATATTCACACGTTGATATCATGTATAGAAAATATACGTCACAGTGACCTAAAACTGGACCTACAGTTTGATATAAAACTGGACCCAACAGTGACCTAAAACTGGACCCATCAGTGACATAAAACTGGACCTAACAGTGACCTAAAACTGGACATAACAGTGACATAAAACTGGACCTACAGTTTGATATAAAACTGGACCTATAGTTAGATATAAAACTGGACCTAACAGTGACATAAAACTGGACCCAACAGTGACATAAAACTGGACCTAACAGTGACCTAAAACTGGACCTAACAGTGACCTAAAACTGGACCTAACAGTGACCTAAAACTGGACCTAACAGTGACCTAAAACTGGACCTAACTGTGACCTAAAACTGGACCTAACAGTGACCTAAAACTGGACCTAAAAAGTGACATGACTGAAACAACCGACTGACGGACACTACTTGGAGGAAGGAGCCCACCCTCTAAGACTGAGCTAGTGATCCTGCAAGTACTGTAACTCTAATGAGTTTTCCCACCAGAAGCCCCGGGGAGCCTGTTGTGGTAGTTTCGCCTCCCATTGTTTGCGCTGCCAGCTATGTTCCCACTTGCCACACCCGCGATCAATGGGTGGGGGCGGCCACGCCATACACGGGGCCCAGAGTGTGGTTGGTACATATAGAATGGCAAGTGTGAGGGTGGGCAATACACGAGGCCCAGAGTGTGGTTGGTCCAAATAGAATGGCAAGTGTGAGGGTGGGCAATACACGGGGCCCAGAGTGTGGTTGGTCCAAATAGAATGGCAAGTGTGAGGGTGGCCACGCAATACACGGGGCCCAGAGTGTGGTTGGTCCAAATAGAATGGCAAGTGTGGGGGTGGGCAATACACGGGGCCCAGAGTGTGGTTGGTCCAAATAGAATGGCAAGTGTGAGGGTGGGCAATACACGGGGCCCAGAGTGTGGTTGGTCCAAATAGAATGGCAAGTGTGGGGGTGGGCAATACACGGGGCCCTGAGTGTGGTTGGTCCAAACAGAATGGCAAGTGTGAGGGTGGGCAATACACGGGGCCCAGAGTGTGGTTGGTCCAAATAGAACGGCAAGTGTGAGGGTGGACAATACACGGGGCCCAGAATGTGGTTGGTCCAAATAGAATGACAAGTGTGAGGGTGGGCAATACACGGGGCCCAGAATGTGGTTGGTCCAAATAGAATGACAAGTGTGAGGGTGGCCACGCAATACACGGGGCCCAGAATGTGGTTGGTCCAAATAGAATGGCAAGTGTGAGGGTGGGCAATACACGAGGCCCAGAATGTGGTTGGTCCAAATAGAATGACAAGTGTGAGGGTGGCCACGCAATACACGGGGCCCAGAATGTGGTTGGTCCAAATAGAATGGCAAGTGTGAGGGTGGGCAATACACGGGGCCCAGAGTGTGGTTGGTCCAAACAGAATGACAAGTGACAGCTTACATAGGGGCATACGGCTGCTCACTTTAACGATATCAATTTACTTGTCTTTTACAACTCATGTCTAAACCAATGGCTTTACACAAGCCCAGCGGTGAAAAACTTATTTCCCCTGAATGAAACCATGTAGCAAGATGTGTAGCCTCCCTTACAAGGTTATTTGAGTGGTGTAGTTTAATCCGCGACTCACCTTCTATGGCCATCATAGCTCTCAGCTCTCTATTCAGCAACTCGAATCGCCTTTCAAGATCGTCTTCCTTCTCTCTGGAATCAAAGAGAAAAAAAGTGTTCTAATGATAGGCTAAAGGCGGGCAGTCAAACATCAAATAAGCCATCTATCTTTTATTCTCGTCACAACTGATCCTAGCCGTGGCTACATTATCAGGTGAACCAACTCAACAGTAACATTAGTAAATTAATCGGCTCCTTCAGTCGATAGGTAGCTAAGGTAGGTAGGTAGGTAGGTAGATTGGTTGGTTGGTTGGGTAGGTAGGTAGGCAGGCAGGCAGGTAGGAAGGCTGGCAGGCAGGCAGGTAGGTAGGTTGGAAGGTAGGCAGGTAGGTAGGTAGGTAGGTAGGTAGGTAGGTAGGTAGGTAGGTAGGTAGGTAGGTAGGTAGGTAGGTAGGTAGGTAGGTAGGTAGGCAGGTAGGCAAGCAAGCAGGCAGGCAGGCAGACAGGTAGGTAGGTAGGTAGGTAGGTAGGTAGGTAGGCAGGCAGGCAGGTAGGTAGGCAGGCAGGTAGGCAGGCAGGCAGGCAGGCAGACAGGTAGGTAGGTAGGTAGGTAGGTAGGTAGGTAGGCAGGTAGGCAAGCAAGCAGGCAGGCAGGCAGACAGGTAGGTAGGTAGGTAGGCAGTTAAGTAGGCAGGTAGGCAGGTAGGTAGGCAGGCAGGTAGGCAGGCAGGCAGGCAGACAGGTAGGTAGGTAGGTAGGTAGGTAGGCAGGCAGGCAGGCAGACAGGTAGGTAGGTAGGTAGGTAGGTAGGTAGGTAGGTAGGTAGGTAGGTAGGTAGGTAGGTAGGTAGGTAGGTAGGTAGGTAGGTAGGTAGGTAGGTAGGCCAGACGGCGGTACGCGTGAACACATTAGAGGATAAGTCGACAGAAGAAAAGTACATCAGGACAAGTAGGGAGAGGACAAGTAGACAGACGTCAATTAAACAGAGGACAAGTAAACAGAGGACAAGTAGACATAGGACAAGTAGACAGACGTCAATTAAACAGAGGACAAGTAGACAGAGGACAAGTAGACAGAGGACAAGTAGACAGAGGACAAGTAGACACAGGACAAGTAGACAGAGGACAAGTAGACAGAGGACAAGTAGACACAGGACAAGTAGACAGAGGACAAGTAGACAGAGGACAAGTAGACAGAGGACAAGTACAGCAGGACAAGTAGATAGAGGACAAGTCGACAGAATAAAAGTACAGCAGGACTAGTAGACAGAGGACAAGTAGGCATAGGACAAGTAGATAGAGGACAAGTAGACAGAGGAGAAGTAGGCAGAGGACAATTACAGCAGAGGACAAGTAGACAGAGGACAAGTAGACAGAGGACAAGTACAGCAGGACAAGTAGACAGAGGACAAGTAGACAGAGGACAAGTAGACAGAGGACAAGTAGACAGAGGACAAGTAAACAGAGGACAAGTAGACAGAGGACAAGTAGACATAGGACAAGTAGACAGAGGACAAGTAGGCAGAGGACAAGTAGGCAGAGGACAAGTAGACAGAGGACAAGTAGACAGAGGACAAGTAGGCAGAGGACAAGTAGACAGAGGACAAGTAGACATAGGACAAGTAGGCAGAGGACAAGTAGACAGAACAAGTAGGCTCAATGAGAAGAAAAACCGCACTCGGCATGATGAGATCCATCTTAGAGGCGGTTCTGTATTAACTGAATTCATCGTCCACATCGAATGCTACAGTCAAAATAAACGCCATTAGTAAGAGAACCTCTGAGAGGTTTTGATAGAAAGAAGACTAATTAAATGAATGTGAGGATGTCCCAAGATATGAATACAGCCCCTGAGGTTGTGTGTCAAAGACCAGAGCTTGTATAACACAAGCCAGAGGACTACACTGCAACTGACGCATCGAGGAACCAGTAAAGAGGATTAACGGCTTAGGCTGGAATCTTCTTTCAGGCTTAAGGAAAACTAAAGAGCTTTGGACCCATACGGCTGGGGTATGAGATGGTGTCATCAAAACATTGACAACACGGGCACGGCAACACGGGCACGGCAACACGGGCACGACAACACGGGCACGGCAACACGGGAACGGCAACACGGGCACGGCAATACGGGCACGGCAACACGGGCACGGCAACACGGGCACGGCAACACGGGCACGGCAACACAGTGCATACAAACACACCACCTACAAGACATACAATACAACACACCGCCTAAAACATATACAACACACCGCCTAAAACATATACAACACACCGCCTACAACATATACAACACACCGCCTGCAAAATAAACAAGATAACACATCGCCTACAACATATACAAGATAACACATCGCCTACAACATATACAAGATAACACATCGCCTACAACATATACAAGATAACACATCGCCTACAACATATACAAGATAACACATCGCCTACAACATATACAAGATAACACATCGCCTACAACATATACAAGACAACACATCGCCTACAACATATACAAGATAACACATCGCCTACAACATATACAAGATAACACATCGCCTACAACATATACAAGATAACACACCGCCTACAACATATACAAGATAACACATCGCCTACAACATATACAAGAAAACACACCACCTACAACACATACAAGACAACACACCACCTACAACACATACAACACAACACACCACCTACAAGACATACAAAATAACACACCGACTAAAACATATACAACACATCGCCTACAACATATACAACGCACCGCCTAAAACATATACAACACACCACCTACAACACATACAAGAAAACACACCGCCTACAACATATACAAGATAACACATCGCCTACAACATATACAACGCACCGACTAAAACATATACAACACACCACCTACAACACATACAAGAAAACACACCGCCTACAACACATACAAGACAACACACCGCCTAAAACAAAGGCCCCTCTATGTTAACTATATGTGGTCTACTAATGATTTGTGTACTGTCAATGTGTGTAGGCCTGCTACTAATGAAATGTGTACTGTCAATGTGTGTAGGCCTGCCACTGATGAAATGTGTACTGTCAATGTGTGTAGACCTGCCACTGATGAAGTGAGTGATAGAGGCGTACAACACAATTCAGCAGCCAGTGTGTACTGCACTGTTTAATACAGCGTTGGGTATTAGGAATGATTGTAAAAATTTGTCGTCAGATTAGCTGCAGTCGTGGGTGGGGGGATGAGCGGATTAAAGAGAATTGATTAGGATCTCTTTTCATATTTTCTATTGTGTGTAGTAGGCCGATTTTACTCCATCGGATCTTCTTAGACTAAAGATCTTAGTATGTGCAATCTTCTTATGTACAGGCTCCGGTATAAAAGGTAGTCGTCCATTCGTCTCTCACATACCGTAGCCATGACTTACTGCAGCACTCACATGCATCTCCTGGATGGAATGGCCCGTACCATTCCGTTCTTTGGATAATGGATAACCTCAAGTGTATAAGGCACTACAGCGGTGCTTAATGGGTGAGTTCAATGGCTTTCTATTGAACAAACATAAGCAGAGGAGCTTGGTTTGATTTAGTAATACAGCACATTGGTGTGGTGGATAGGTGCTTTGTTTTAAAACTTGGTGGATATGTGCTTTGTTTTATCATGAGGTGGATAGGTGCTTTGTTTTATCATGTGGTGGATAGGTGCTTTGTTTTATCATGTGGTGGATAGGTGCTTTGTTTTAAAACTTGGTGGATAGGTGCTTTGTTTTAAAACGTGGTGGATAGGTGCTTTGTTTTATCATGTGGTGGATAGGTGCTTTGTTTTAAAACTTGGTGGATATGTGCTTTGTTTTAAAACGTGGTGGATAGGTGCTTTGTTTTATCATGTGGTGGATAGGTGCTTTGTTTTAAAACGTGGTGGATAGGTGCTTTGTTTTATCATGTGGTGGATAGGTGCTTTGTTTTAAAACGTGGTGGATATGTGCTTTGTTTTATCATGAGGTGGATAGGTGCTTTGTTTTATCATGTGCTGGATAGGTGCTTTGTTTTATCATGTGGTGGATAGGTGCTTTGTTTTATCATGTGGTGGATAGGTGCTTTGTTTTATAACGGGGGTGGATAGGTGCTTTGTTTTATAACGGGGGTGGATAGGTGCTTTGTTTTATCATGTGGTGGATAGGTGCTTTGTTTTATCATGTGGTGGATAGGTGCTTTGTTTTTAAACTTGGTGGATAGGTGCTTTGTTTTATCATGTGGTGGATAGGTGCTTTGTTTTATAACGGGGGTGGATAGGTGCTTTGTTTTAAAACGTGGTGGATAGGTGCTTTGTTTTATCATGTGGTGGATAGGTGCTTTGTTTTATCATGTGGTGGATAGGTGCTTTGTTTTAAAACTTGGTGGATATGTGCTTTGTTTTATCATGAGGTGGATAGGTGCTTTGTTTTATCATGTGCTGGATAGGTGCTTTGTTTTATCATGTGGTGGATAGGTGCTTTGTTTTATCATGTGGTGGATAGGTGCTTTGTTTTATAACGGGGGTGGATAGGTGCTTTGTTTTATAACGGGGGTGGATAGGTGCTTTGTTTTATCATGTGGTGGATAGGTGCTTTGTTTTATCATGTGGTGGATAGGTGCTTTGTTTTTAAACTTGGTGGATAGGTGCTTTGTTTTATCATGTGGTGGATAGGTGCTTTGTTTTTAAACTTGGTGGATATGTGCTTTGTTTTATCATATAGTGGATAGACGCTTTGTTTTATAACGGGGGTGGATAGGTGCTTTGTTATGCATCAATCTAATCATTTTTACTTTCTCGTATATATCGTGCAAAAAAAAAAAAATCGAGATTTTTATAAATCTCGACGTTTTACACCTCACTGATACGGAAAAACATAATTTTGCAATCTTGTCCGTATGCCTGTGTGTCTGTCTGTGTGTGTGTGTGTGTGTCTGTGTGTAAACACGATAAGCTGAGTACCATTAAAGTTAGGCTGATGAAATTTCATATATAAGTATTTTATCAAAATCGTAAATCCTTATCAACTTTTGAGCGATTTCCGATAACCGGAAGTGGTACTTTTTCTACTTTGAATTTTTCAA